TACATAAATTGATATAATTACAATTTTTATTTTTAATTAATTATTGCTCATTAAATAACTGGATGGAAACAGAATTTTTTACAACTAACTTATAAAAATTGATTTTAGCAATGTATGTTTTGAAGTCTAAATTCGATTTTTCTAAAAAAATTTGTGGGTTATTGATATTTGTTTAAACCATTCAACCAATATTTTTTATTTTGGAATTACAAAATGTAAATATTGTTCTTAAGTCATACAAAAAAAGAAGTTCATACATATATGAACTTCTCCAATTTTTAATTAGGCCATCATTAAAGTTAATTTCCATATTAGACAACTATGTTGAATACTCATTTTATATAGTGACATTTCTAATTTTAATTCACAAAATAGGTCTAATCATTTTTACTTTTAAGTATTTTAAACAGGATTAATCATAAAATTTTTTGAAACATGCTAAAAATTCTTTTATCATCAAATTATTTTGTTATTGCCTGAATTTCTATTAATAATTAGCTGGATCTTATTTTAATATAGAAATGAACTTTATTTGTTTAAAATGCTTTAAAAAATAATTAGAATTATCTGAGAATGTCGGAGTGATACTGATTATATTAAATATAATCACAATTTTACTTTTGTTAATTGATTCTATAGGATCAATCATAATTAATGAATGTACTATTACTAATAAAGTCTATGGATTAGAAAAGTTATAGATTACAATCTTTAGATATATATATTATGGATTAATTATAATATAATTAATTATTGTAATTGATTTAGATTATCTTCATATTGAATATGTTCTCAGTGCTATTTGTTTATGTTAACAATTACTTCTTTTATTTGAATTGCTAATTAATAACATTTATATACTTCATTATCAAAATTATCCATTGATTTGTGCAATTTCTATTAATTTATCATTTATAATATCTATTTTTGTTACTATCAATTTAGATGCTTAACTTTTTGAATTTTGTATTTTAATTATTTTTTCTTTGATATTGATGATACTTTTAAATTTAAATTAAAAAAATGAAAAAAAATTTATGAATTAATTATTTAGAGAAAGAAAAACCAACTTAAACTTTCTCAGATTTGGTTTAATTAAAATTTTAAATAATGAAACTTATTTCTAAAAGGAAGATTTAATGATAAAAATTTTAATAGCAAAATGGCATTAATCTCGATGCAAATCAATAAAATGTACTTTTTGTAATCATCTTTCAATCTAAAATCCTGAATAATGCTGTTGCATTACAAATGAAATTTATAAGGAGTTTATTTAAGATACATTATCTTGCTTTTAGCAAAACCGTAAAAATGTTAGTTAAAAACAATTCTAAAATTAATTTACTTTAGTATATATTTATTTCTTATTTGATTTTGGATGGATAGTTAAATCTATTTAAATTTTGATTTAAATGACAGTATCTAAATAAAAATTTTAAGATAAAAATCTTTTCTATCATTTCAATTTGAATTAAAATAAATAAAATAATAAAAAGTTTTACATTCTGAACTTAACTTCTTAAGCTAGTGCAAAATTTATCGTACAAAGCGGGAAATCATAAATAAGTTAATAAATTTTTAAATAAAAACTTTAATCACAATATGAACTAATAGTTCAGGATTTTGTTGAGGAATTATTAAAGTTTGACTGCTTATTAAAGTATCTAGAAAATAAAGTAATGGAAACACTTTACCTAAAATTGTTATTGTATAATAACTTGATTCATCAAAGTGAAAAATCTTTAAATGGTTTACATTTTAACAAATAATTATTTATTTTATGTTAATAATTATATGAGGTTAATAAAATCTTAAAAATATAATTTAATTATAAACCTAATCAAGCTATTCATAGATTATATACTTTTTTTTTAGGAGAAATAATATCTAATTATCATAAATCAATCACATTTTATAAGAATTCAAAGTGCTTTGAAGATGATACACAAAAAATTGAGTAAGTAGGAAATTTAGACTTAAATAAAAAAAACATTCACTATGCAATATTAGAATTAGGTGATGATCTGCAAAATTTAATTTTGGTAGGGTAATCTCAAAATTTTTTTGATAATTACGGAAAAAGTTTTGAAAGAAATAGATTATTTGAACATTTTTTACCAGATTGTTTGATTCCATATCATAAATTATTTGTGAATCAATTTTTAGAAACTGGAAAAAATAAATTTATTTAAGTTTTTTCATACAATTTTATAATGAATCCTTAACATATATTAACCACTGTTAAAATGTATCATTCTGTCACAACTTTGTTCAAAAGCAGAAATATCACTTTTGCTGTATTTTTACAATAAGCTCCCCTAGATCAAGCTTTTTTGTTTGTTGATGGAAAAAATATGAAATGTACATTTACAAAAAATTTATTGATATAAGTAGGATGGTCAGATGAGGATATTTTAAATGAAAGGAAAATAAAAGAAATTTTAGAAATTTAAATTTTATAAATTTATCCTAATTTTTAAAAAGTGATCGAAAATTTAGAAGATGAGATCCTTTTAAAGTCGATAGCTATGCATTTTCCTGCGGCGCTAGAAAATAATAACATAGTTTCTTCAACCACAGGAAAATCAAATTTGAAAATGCTAACTTAGGAATGTGATATATTAGTTTAAAAAAAGTAAATAGGTGATTTTTGCTACTTTTTAATTAATATTGTAAAAATGTTTACATCAAACAAAAATAGGAGATAAACTAAAATTTAAGAATTAGGATAGTTATAAATTGGCAAAGAAAATAATTTAGAACTTAGAGATGTATTTATGGATTGTAACCTAGATTCATAAGAGGATTCACCTCATATTGGAAACCTAAATAGTGTAAATTTTATTAATTAGTAATTAATGGGATCTCTTTAAAAAATTATTCAACCATACCATTTATAAATAAAACCTTAAATATTTGATAATAATTTTCCAGTACCTAAGTCGAGGAGAGATGAAACTGGTAATTAAAGTGATCAATGTTTAATTACTTATAGAAATAGCTAAATAAAATAAAATACCAAAAAAAATAGTATTTAGAATTCATAAAGCTTGTAAAGCAAAGAAGATTAAATAAATTAAAAAAACGACTTCGTTTCTTTTTAATTAAACGAAAGTTCAAATGAAATAGATAAAGTTCATCAACATTATGTATTACTCAATAACATCATATCAACAAGTCCTTAAAAATATTAATAGAAATTTATGTTTTTATTTAGCTTTTGGCTTTTATTTTTTATTGTATTTATAATTATCCAATATGTTGAGCTTCAAAATGATTTAGATGCCCTTTTAAGTTATGGATTTATGACATCATTTTATGCTTCCATAATGGGGCCACATGATTTATATTTCTCTATGCGAATAACAATAACTGCATATTAACAAATGAATAGGGAAGGTTTTCTTCCTAACAGTGAATTAAAATAATTAATCGAACCTTTTTAAGAAACAGTAGATTTGGGCTACATTGAATTAAGAAGTAGCCTTTACGATTAATTGAATAACAAATATATCCAAAAATTTTTGGATGATGTTAAAGTAGTCATAAATTTTATGGGTAAAAATGAATAAGAAATATATCCAATTGATATATCTTTTCGAGATTCTTTATTGGTAATTTTGCAATATTAACATGCTCAAATGATAACTTTACAAAGACGCGAAAGCACTAGTGGTAAGCCATTTTAAGTATCTTTATTTGCAAACTACTTCATGCTGCACAAAGAATGTGAAAAATTATCCCAGCTCATGTATGAATATGCAATCTTGATGAATCAAAATTTTAATCAAAAATTAATTTTTATATGGGTAAGCTTTAATTTTGCTTTAATAATCTTTTACTTTTATTTGTAAAATTTCCAAATATAGTTTTTTTCTTTATAAGATAGATTTGTATAGCTTATCTTTTTAGTTGATGAACATGTTTTGAAACGTGAAGTTGAAAGATATAATAATTTGATAAATTCAATTAATTTAAATTAAGATGTATTATTTAAATATGATCCTCATCAAAAATTACATGAACATTTAAATTTACCTTTTCAAAAACTATTAAATGTAAATTAGAAATAAAAACAGAATTATTAGGCTGTTAATAAAACTAGAAGTTTCATAAAGATCCTTAATATAGGATTTCTTGTTTTAATATTGTCAATAATTCTTATTTTTGTTGTAATAAATATTGTGTCCACTACGTTATTTTTTAATAAATATGATGAAACTATTTACTTCTATAAATAAGTATTAGAGATGAAACTAAGGCCAGGTAATTTAATATTGTACAGAGAAACATTTTTTAGATGGCAAAACTTCACCTTTCTAACAGAAAATAATAAATTGGAGCTTTATGAGTTAGTTAATAAAGCTCAATTTGCAATTTAAAATTACATCTAAACATCAAACACAATAGATTTTGATCATTTTCTAATAGATTAAAATTTCATTGATNTAAAGTGATCAATGTTTAATTACTTATAGAAATAGCTAAATAAAATAAAATACCAAAAAAAATAGTATTTAGAATTCATAAAGCTTGTAAAGCAAAGAAGATTAAATAAATTAAAAAAACGACTTCGTTTCTTTTTAATTAAACGAAAGTTCAAATGAAATAGATAAAGTTCATCAACATTATGTATTGTTATAAAGAAATATATTAATTACTTATTAATTAACAAATAAAATGATTAAATGTGATAGCCAAACATTTATTACTCAATAACATCATATCAACAAGTCCTTAAAAATATTAATAGAAATTTATGTTTTTATTTAGCTTTTGGCTTTTATTTTTTATTGTATTTATAATTATCCAATATGTTGAGCTTCAAAATGATTTAGATGCCCTTTTAAGTTATGGATTTATGACATCATTTTATGCTTCCATAATGGGGCCACATGATTTATATTTCTCTATGCGAATAACAATAACTGCATATTAACAAATGAATAGGGAAGGTTTTCTTCCTAACAGTGAATTAAAATAATTAATCGAACCTTTTTAAGAAACAGTAGATTTGGGCTACATTGAATTAAGAAGTAGCCTTTACGATTAATTGAATAACAAATATATCCAAAAATTTTTGGATGATGTTAAAGTAGTCATAAATTTTATGGGTAAAAATGAATAAGAAATATATCCAATTGATATATCTTTTCGAGATTCTTTATTGGTAATTTTGCAATATTAACATGCTCAAATGATAACTTTACAAAGACGCGAAAGCACTAGTGGTAAGCCATTTTAAGTATCTTTATTTGCAAACTACTTCATGCTGCACAAAGAATGTGAAAAATTATCCCAGCTCATGTATGAATATGCAATCTTGATGAATCAAAATTTTAATCAAAAATTAATTTTTATATGGGTAAGCTTTAATTTTGCTTTAATAATCTTTTACTTTTATTTGTAAAATTTCCAAATATAGTTTTTTTCTTTATAAGATAGATTTGTATAGCTTATCTTTTTAGTTGATGAACATGTTTTGAAACGTGAAGTTGAAAGATATAATAATTTGATAAATTCAATTAATTTAAATTAAGATGTATTATTTAAATATGATCCTCATCAAAAATTACATGAACATTTAAATTTACCTTTTCAAAAACTATTAAATGTAAATTAGAAATAAAAACAGAATTATTAGGCTGTTAATAAAACTAGAAGTTTCATAAAGATCCTTAATATAGGATTTCTTGTTTTAATATTGTCAATAATTCTTATTTTTGTTGTAATAAATATTGTGTCCACTACGTTATTTTTTAATAAATATGATGAAACTATTTACTTCTATAAATAAGTATTAGAGATGAAACTAAGGCCAGGTAATTTAATATTGTACAGAGAAACATTTTTTAGATGGCAAAACTTCACCTTTCTAACAGAAAATAATAAATTGGAGCTTTATGAGTTAGTTAATAAAGCTCAATTTGCAATTTAAAATTACATCTAAACATCAAACACAATAGATTTTGATCATTTTCTAATAGATTAAAATTTCATTGATTTATTTGTTAACATTAATTAAAATAATCCTTGCAAATTTATTGGAGAAGTAAATTTTTAATTAAATTAGAAATTTTAAAATTTATCATAAATGTATTGTGAATCAGCGTTTGATGGAGCTTTTTCAAAAGGAATGATAACAACATTAAATTACTTGTCCAATTTAATAAAATCTTAATAAGCCCTCAATAATTTTACTCATAGAGTAGAAATGTAATATTATGAATTGGAAGGATCATAAATTATAAGCAGAATATTTTCTGTCTTAGTTAATCAATTTAATAAAAGTTTGAAAGGATAATTTATAGAGATGGAAATTTTTTTTACAGTATCAATTAATTATTTTTAGGCATTATCAATAGCTTTTGCAATACTAACAATATGTTTACAATTGTTGCTTTTTTTTTTTTATTCTCCTTATTTAGGTAGAATAATGAAAATAATTAAAAGAGTAATTTACTTAATTCCTTTTGAATCATTGATGAATAATTCAACAATAGAGAGATAGTTGAAGGAATTAAAGTTTAAATTTTAATGATTTATAATAGCTTTTTTTGAATTTATAGGAAAAATAATAATCTTAATGTTATTTGAATATTTTCATAAATACATTCACTATTTCTTCAAAACTAAATTAACTATAAAATTTTTTTATGAATGAAAAAAAGTGTAAATTCGTTAATTATATTAATAAAATATTATTTTTAAAAATAAAATACTATATTTATCGAATTCAAATTCACTTATTCAATTTTGATAAACTAAGGTTAAAAAATAAATACAGTTTTCCTACGTTTTACAAAAAGTTACAAATAGGTAAAAAATTTTAATTTTGAGAAACCACACCGATACAAGTTATGTCAATTAAATGCAATTTTAAGGTTAAAAATAAAAAATTGATTGTTAGGACAAGCCTAAAACTTGATTTTACTTTATAAAAATAAGAGAATATTTTATTATCAAAATAATTTGACAGACAGTTTCCCATTTTTAATTTAGCTTTTTTTCTTCTTTTTATTTCTAATTAAGTTAATTTGTATCTTTGACATCTTCTTTTTTCTTTTGTATATTTTATCATTCTTAATTTTAATTAACTGATTTATTTATAAATTTTTTTTAATATGAGATACAACAAAACTTGTGATAGATTTTTTATAGCATTAATTCTTAAATACTCATTTCTAACTTCACGGACAATGCCAGAATTTATACTTTAATATTAATCTAAAAACGGATCTTGAATTCCTAGATAAGCAAATGCTTAATATAAAAACTAAAAAAAAAATTCAATTCCATTTTATTTAAATCTAAGTCTAGTATTAAACTAATTTTAAATTCATATTTGTGTGAATTCATATTTCAAATATATATTCATGCTACTAATTTTTCATTTATATTCTATTTAACGAATTACTTCATGAAGTAAACACTATTTTAAGACTTTGTAAATATAATTGCAGTGATTTCTTATATTTTTGTTTAATTTTTCTGAAACTCTCATGTATTTGTAAGTTTATTTTTAAACATGTCAATAGTAATACAACAAAGTTAAAATTGATAAAGAAAACTATCATAAAGGATTAATAGTAC